GTCTAATGTTAGAAGTATGGGCCCCTAATATGGGCCCTTAGGCCTTTTTTAGGGACTCTTAAGGGTACGTATAGGGTACATAGTAGGTATATAAGGATCTCAGGGTTAAGGGCCCATGCTAGGGGCCCATGGCTTCAACCAATTTGGACCTGTGGGACAGGAGCATTATCTGCACGACGGCTGTCAAAATGAATGCTATTTAGCCTTTGGACAGGCACATTTGTAACAGGCCGTGAGTCATGAAGATGTTTGTTTTGTACTTTGCTTTTGCTAACTGCTAGATGGTGCACAGGCTTCTAGGTTCTTTTGGGAAAGCCGGAAGTCACAGCGCAGAAACGCACAAGTCTCTCTCAGTTATCGCTGGGTGTCGCTGCCATTATCCCAGCCCTAAGGACATCCTCGGCGTCCGAGGAGTCGTTGGCAAGTCCAAGCGTGGAGAGCTGTCAATCTTTCCTAAAGAGGCTCGGTGCTGTAAGTCTTGCAACGGACATGCCAGAAAGCATTCTTCTTGGCACACTCCTCAAGCAACCCAGCCAGCCAGCCCGCAGAAGGGCTCTTGAGTTGCCCAATTCATTCGCAGAGATCATATGGAACCATGAGAAAGGCCTCCCTGTCGTCAGGTAAAGCTCCTCTCCCCGTGCCTGCACATGCTTCCTAAAGACTATTCAGGCGCGAAGTGCACTTGAGAGATATGGAGGCCCAAGGATGGTGGCCCCCAGAGATGGGAATTGCAAAACAAAGACAGGCCATTCAATACTCATGATGATCACTCTGGCCTTGATGGTCAGCATCGCTGTTAACAGGATCAGCCTGCAGGTTCCCATCAGTAGTAGTGTGAATGTGTTTGCGTAGACTTGCTGTCTTCCATTGCTGCTGTCACATGCGCTGTAGCCTAAACTCCTGAAAGGGGGGTTATATAGGGGATTATATAGGGGACTACTATAAGGGTAATTTAGGGGGATACTAGGAGTTTAGACTATGGCTCACATGGTAATTCTTCATGAAAGGAATGGCTCTCTGTGCTTCTTACAGAATCATCCCTGGAGGCCTTAAAGACCAGGAGACCAGATACCGGAAGAGCTTCTTGGTTGATGTGATGTGAGTCATTCTCTAAACTCCAAGTATCCCCTTTAATAGCCCCTATAATAATCGTCCCCTATATAATCCCCTATATTATATAACCCTCTTTAACGAGTTTAGGCTATAGCTCATGTAGATGTTCTGTTTGTGACATGGTCAGTTTGGACTTCCAGATTCTGGGCTCGTGCTGCCTCCGCAGAACACGTACATCTCACCCTGAAATAATAAGATGCTGGCTTGCCCAAAACCCTAAACCCAAAACCCTACACCCTAAAACCCTTAAACCCTAAACCCCCAATAGATCTTGTAGAAAAAGCCGCCGACTCCGCTCACTCTACAAGCAAGACCTCAAAGTCCAACTGCATCCGGGATGTCGCCTTCTTCTCATATGAGCTATAGTCTAATATAGGGAAATATAGGTACTATTCCGATAAGGGAAAATGAAATGGAAGCTACTATATAGGGTTTGGGGTTTAGGTATTCCTAAGTTCATGTGAGTAGTATTTTGTTTGGGGATACGATAGAGTAAGGCTATATCCTCCTTTTGGGTTATAGTATTTTATATACAGAATATGATCTTGCTGGGTTTAACCACCGAAAAAAACACTACTCATATGGTTTGCAGGAAAAGGGCTGCAAGTGGTTTCTCACAGCCTGAGAAGGAGAGGTTCACACTTGAAGCTCTTGAAATCTGGATTTCAAGTTGTGGGACATTTCTAGGTTTCTTTTGGCACGCCAGGTGGGCTGAAGGCGCACTATGCAGTCAGACAACCTGAAGCAAGATGTCCGCCAAAACCTTCTAAGACTGCAGGGACAATCCGCTAAACAAAGCTGACTAAACTGCTTAGCCATGACTTGTGAACTGCTCTCCTTCGGAGGAAAGATCATCCATATCTCCGAAACAGGCAATCACCAAAAGCCACAACAGCATAGCAAGGATATTTGGACCTGATGATCAACGAGGACGTGAGAAAAACCTTCTTGATGCGGTCCTCCATTACAAACTTCATCCGTCGATTCCTCCAGGACTGCATTCCGAGCAAAGTAGTACTACTGCCCCACACTAATGACACTGGCACCGCCCCTGATACCACAACACAAGCGCCAGCACCGCTCCACCTTCCACCTTTTTGAAGCACGGCCCTTTTTCATAGCCACATTAATGCACTTCTTCCGAAAGCCTTGCACACACATTCATGCCCTGATGTGGGGGCTTGCAGGTTGTACTTAAGTACCCAAATCTCGTACACAATCAAGATACCCGAAACTGTAGGCATGTTCGTGCAGGTCTGCAGTCTTAAGATCTTTATGATTTGGGGGCCAGGATCGAGGATTCCTTGAGGTGGAAACGCCGATGATGATGCTCGGCGGACATGTACATGCTGTGGCCAACCTGTTCCTGTAGGGCCACGGTTGTCATGTCATTTTTCACTTGATAGATGTCGATGAGTCTTGTTATCCATAGTGCAGAAGCAATACAACGTTGGGCTGCATGGCACGAAGTGATTGCACCAGATTGACGGCGAGTTTGGTCGTTTGCCTTAGTTGAGCTTACTAATTCACTATTAACCACAGTCATGTCTGCCTTCAAGGAACGCAATTCCTGGTGGTGCTTCGGCCAAGCCTTTCATCACCAGGCACAATGAGCTGAACATGGATCTGCATCCTGCCTGCAAATTCAGCGCTCCAAGGTTTCTTGCGGGCTTTGTGGCAGTAATTCATGCGAATCAGCGATCGCGCCTGTAAGTGCAGTATGCGTCGAAGCATCATCGCGACTGTTTCGCCGCTGCGGTTCCCATGACAACCTTCACAAGACCAGCCCTGCATGTTGTTATTTGCCAAGAAATGCTGTCTAGTCTGGATGAAGCCGAAGACAGCACTAAACGCGCATGTACGAGTCTGGCAGATGAAGGAAGCAAGCTATTCGCCAGGTACATGAGAGTCGCTCCAGAGCTGTACTTGAAAATGCGGCTGGGCTTGCACAGCAAATATGTCTGCTTTTGGTAGCTTACCTTGAAGCTGGGTTGCGCTAATGACGCTGATGCGGAAAAGCACAATCACAGCAAGGCTTGTGATTGGTGGCCTTGACCGTGTCTTCGAGATTGGCCGCAACTTCCGACGCTAGTCAGAATGATTATCGTCACACAGTTCGTTCCACAAAGATATGCTCGGAATTAGATGTGGCTACTATAAAAACTACAATTACTATAAAACTATTATTGCTATTACGACTACTGGTACAATCATGCATGTGCGGGCAGCAGAGCTGTGCCAAGGCAATGAGGGCATCGACCTTACCCACAACCCAGAGTGGCCTGTCTGCAAGCAGGCGCCTTTCAATAATAGTTGAAGCTAGGCGGTGCGTGCCTTCCAACTCAGCCCTACTGGGTCCTCATGAGCGAAAGCTCCAAGTACTTTTGCAAACAGTGGATCCCAATCTTCAGATTTACCCATATTCGAGCGGACCCTCCTCAGTCAGAACGTTCACTGAGGTTTACGTCATGCGAGTTCTACATGGCCTATGCTGACTATGAGCAGCTCATGACCATGACAGAGGAGCTACCAACAATTGCCAATCTGGGGGTTGGTTTGAAGGTGTTTGTGGGGAAGTTATTCTGGATCCTGACAAGGTTTTTGGGCGGGTCCTGCCATCAAGGCACTTGCAAGGGAGGACCCTGTTTGAAAGCAGTACAGATGTCAGAGGGCTTGGAGTCTACAGTGATCAACTTCATTGCTGCACAGGCCAGTTGGAAAGCGTTTACGGGGACGGTTGCGGAAGAATCAGCTCTGCAGCTTCTGATGTCTGGAAAGAGCCGCAAGGAACTCATTAGCTCCATGGTACACGAGCTCACCGGGAGCTATGTGCCACTTGGACACATCGTCTACCTATAACTGTCATTACAACCACTCCTGCTATCATGTCATCATGCTTTGATTGTCACAGTCCCATGTGTGGATCAGGTTGTCATACCACCCTCACGGGCCCGAGAAGGAAGCAGTCGCTTGACGACCTTGAGTTAATGCTTGAGATGGAAGTACATAATCAGCTGACAAGCCCAGAGCCAGCTACTTCACATGGTTGGTGATCAAGTGATTTGGTGGTATTCTGAGAGCTTAATCAGTCCTTCACTGGCAAAGCTACAACGGGGTCCTCACCAATGTTGCACCATCTGGTGTATACACCTTTCGGGACACACAAGCCCCTTTGTCAAGAGAAGTTTTGCAGGCCGGAAAGCCCAGATCCCAGGGATTCCCTGGGCTTCCCTTCTCATGCAGTTTCCCTTGAGGGCATGCAGAGTCCATGGAGCGACGGCAGACCACAGAAGACGCCAAACTATGTTTCTTTCCAATGGCTTGCCCCCAGCCCAAAGGCTTTTCAAGGTTGCGCAAGGGGCATGCTGCCACTTGGCATGTGCATGTTTTAGCAATTCTTGCCTAATGCATAGCACGTCAAAGAGCTCAAGCAAAGGTAAACAGACCCTGCACGTAGCTCTATGAGCAGAACACTCGTCCTTTCAGCAGCGCTGTTGCGAAGACAAGACCACGCGGGACGGACGAGCAAACCACCCAAACAGCCTATAATCCCTGTAGTTTCCATTTTCTTTTCAATTATCCCTATATAACCCCAATAATACCCCAATAATCCCTATATAACCCATATATAATCCCTATAATCCCTATAGTTTCCATTTTCTAGGTGGAGATCGACTTCACACCTCCCTGGCCTCGGGTGTCCTTGGTGGAAGAGAGCTCCGTCCCAGTTGGAGGATGGTGTTGCATTAGGCTGAGGGCTTGGAGGCTTACTTGCAAACGTCTCATTCTGATGTCACAATGTGCGAAAGAAAGTCAATGAATGATAGAAGCTCTATGGAGCCTTCAAACCTAGCGCAGGTGAGAACAAACAAGTGTTGTGGGTGCTGTGTCCTCAGATTCCCTAATCCCTATATAACCCCTATATAATCCCTGTAGTTTCCATTTTCTTTTCCATTATCCCTATATAACCCCAATCTATACCAGAATCCCTAGATAATGGAGGCCGGAATAGGGATCGCTCACAAGGACGGTCTTCATTGTGGCAGGGTTCCACCGCTCTATCTTCACTCCGGCCTCAGTTTAGGGCCTGCGCTATGCTTTGAGTTGTAAGTTCAATGTTTGGATGTAATTAAACTGTTTAAGCTACATAGATAGTTGGACTGGAAATTTTGCTTGCACCCCAGCCAGTTGTGCTTGTCCCAATCCAAGAGTAGCCTTTGCTGCCCCTTGTTGGCAGCAGCAACCCCTCATCTGTTCAGAATGGGGCAGGGGTACCAGTTTGAGACTGGTACAAGCAATTATCCGCACGATGGATAGTGTCGGCCCTGCTATTCCGAAACATGTCGAAACAACATGGTGCAATGCTGCTTTTCAATGCTGCTGCCGGCGGACACTTGCTGGCACTTGACTCACTTGCAGACCGCTGAGGATTGAGAAGCAAGCTGGCGTGACACTGCCTAGAAACTTCGAGGATGAGTCGGCGCGCAAGGCTGACTTTGGGCAAGGTCAGGTTTTGAAGATGTGGTCCATAGTCTAAACTCCTGCAAAGGGGTTCTATAAGGGACTATCTAGGGGATTATTATGGGGGTTATTGAGGGGATACTTGGAGTTTAGACTATGGCTCATTAGGAAGAAGTTGAGGCGTGATTATAGGGACCTGTGATAAGAAATACAGTTCTTGGATTGATGATCCAACCTTTGCCTGGTCCCCCACCTCGATGGGGAAAGTGCGGATTTCCTAAAATCAGGGGTACCTTTTCGAGGGTCCCTATACTAAGGACTATAGTCCATGGGGGCCTATGTTGGGGTACCCTAATTTGGGGAAACTACCCAATATCAACAGCAGCAGAACGCTCACCACTCAAACAGCAGACTGTAATGATCCTACCTACTTGCACTACGTAACGCCCACGGGTAATTAGCCCCCATACAGAGTACCTTCACAGTCCGCATTCTTGGAAGCATCATGGGTCCCCGTACTACGCCCCTTGTAAGCTTACCCTGAACTAGACTAGCTTAAGTAGCCCGGAATAGCCCTATTCCAGGAGAACCTTGAGGGGGGGAGGGGGTTAGGACCTTGGGGTTGGGTAGGGTGGTAGTCAACGAAAACAGGTCTTGGACGATTTAGCCAGCTCCTTGCACATCGATTGCCCTCCGCCTCGGACGACGCCGAGGCTGTTGGATAAGCATCTGGGCCTGGCATGTTAAATTATGTGAGCTATAGTCTAAAC